AAAAAAAAAAAAAAAAGAAAAGGTGGTGTTGGCTATTATCCCGGTCTCCATGATGACAGGTTCCAAATCTGTTTTGTCGTCTTGTCTGTGTGGCTGTCTTCGATAATGCTGCTGAGGCCGCGGTAGAATACATGGCATGGCATCCATGGTTATGGCCATGGCTTCTGCCGTAATAGTCGGCCGATCGGAAAAATTGGACGAACAAAGATGGAGACAATGGTCGAGACTCGATTGAGACAAAATTTCGGGATAACCTCATTGTTCAGCTTCACATTGGGCCAGCTCATTGAGCATGATGCATTCTGCGTTGCATTACCCAACAGCTACTTTCTTTTTTTCCCTGATACCTTTTCCATTCAATTCATTATCTCCTCCGGGACGACTCTCACAATTCTTCAGGAGAAGTCGCGTACATTGCAGGTCCCAAAGTTCGGGACCAACATCAAGATTCGACCAACATAAGCACACATGGCCAGCATGGCATCATTCTCCAACGTTTATCCCCGGCCTGTCGATGCCCTCTGCCTTATTACCAAACATACCAACTCCACTCACCTTACTTCTTCAATCCTTCACATTCGTGAACGGTGACACATCTACAGACACCCCCCTGTAACCTCTAACTAGGTTGTGGGCACCCCCCATGTTCCTGGGAGCGAGCTCCTTGACTTGTTCGTTCTTGAGCTCGTGCTTCTCGCTATTATGGATTTTGTTCGTCACGTCCTGTAGGTACATTATAGGTTGGGTCTCCTGTAACGACACACCATATTCACCGTTTCCTGGGGATACAATCAGACCCTGATTTATTTGCTGCATTGTCGTCTCCCCACAGCGTTATGTCACTGCTGCCTCCTCCTCTCAACTCAATAACCTCTCTTTGTCTCTGAGTTTGGTACTATTTCCGGGTTACATCCCCTTTCTTTTTCCATTGTACTGGAGCCCACACGTTTGACTTGATCCCGCTTGGGCACCGTCTCTTTCTGGCTCCTCTTGTCTAGACCTCGGCCAAGACAAGAGACAACAAAAAAAGAGAAAGAGGAACTAGAAGCAAGGCGATCCATAACGTGGGTCCTTGTCCTGCGCATAAGTTATAGCTTCTCGCGGCATGTACTAGGTTAGTAGGGGCCCAGCAGAAGATCTGACCGACGTTTTCTCTATTCAACCCGGACGACCCTCGACTCTTCTTACCTCTCACGCATCGCTGTCTTGACGACTTGTTCATCTTCCACAACTTTAGATAACAGCCCATGAGATAACAAGCCTTACCTTGGCCTCATTTAACACGATTGGCGCCCCACGACTTGTTCTGCCTCACCATATCATACTATTTCCATTCATTGGCTGCAAAGAATCCCGGAAATCACCAATCACATTGCCCTCAACCCATCAACGCCTCGGAGCCACGCTTCATGATCTGAACAGCCATCACTGTCGCCTGCCGAGACAGTTCCTCTCCTTTTGCGTCTTTGTGGCAACTCAGTACCTTACAGAGCCCAACTGTGTCGATACCTAACCCAGCTGCCCACCACTACACACTGCATTTACCACGAGAAGGCCTCCAGTACCACACTGCACGACTATTAGACACTAAGACATCGGCAACACAAGCTATCGGATCTTTCTCAAGGTTCGAACTACCAAGCTTACTACCAAATCCTACTCCAAGAACACAGTCCAACCATCTGAGCACCATTTCAACCATCTAGGCAAAAGACACAGAACAGAATCAGAGACATCGTAACACTCTGATATACAACACCCCGGAGCAGCGTTAGGCTTCTAGAAGCCGCTGCAAAACTCACCTTTTCACAAAATCTCAGCAAAGTCGCCGAGCTGGCCCAACTCAAGAACGAGTCTCCGCTCTGCCTCTTGCGGGCGGAGTTACCACCATCCATCGTGGGTGCGGAAGACCATCTCGATCGGGGCCGAACGCCTCGTCCATATGCCAACGGCTCTCCTGCGGGCAGGTTGGGTGGTCAGGCTGTTGGGGTGGATTTTGCGGCCTTTTTAAAGGCATCTGGCTCTCATGAACCCTCTGTCTCGCCGCCTCGTCAACCCCAACCTGCTCCAGCTTTCACTTATCAGCAACTCCCCCCAAAGGTCTCCAGAGCTTCACCCCGACCTGTTGCGCATGTTGCGCCTTCGCCATCTGTAGCTTCGACACAGATGTCTGGAAGAAGAGGCTTGCCTCCTCACAACGTGGACCAGCCACCTGTCAAGAAGCAGAGCAAGTGGTCGCCAGAGGAGGATGCGCTTATCATTGAGCTCCGAGGAAAGGGGATGAAATGGGAGGATATCTCAAAACGCCTACCTGGCAGAAGTGCGATTAGTTGCCGCCTACATTACCAGAATTACCTCGAAAGACGGAGCGAATGGGACGAAGAACGCAAGAACAAGCTTGCTAGGCTTTACGAAAGGTTAGTTGGGTTATTTGATCCTATTAGGACGGAGGAAGTGGTACCTAAGCTCCCAAGAGATGTACTAACAGAAACACAGATTCAAGCCAGAGATGTGGGCCAAGGTGGCAGAAGAGATGGCAGTTCCATGGCGAGCAGCAGAGGCTATGCATTGGCAACTAGGGGAAGCAGACATGGCCAGGCGTGCAGGAGTTATCCCTTTCTCCTTGGCTGCAGTCAATGTCGAAGGAAACAATAGTCACAGGAGCTCACCCTCACGCAGCCACGTTCACTCACATTCTCAAGGGAGCATGCCTCGCGATCTAGGAGTTCCTTCACCACGAGTAATGTACAACAGAGCGCCACCGATGCCCCCTGCCAGCAACCGAGCGATTATTTCCCGTCGAGAATCGATCCCACCGCCGCCTCCTTTGAATATGGGTCCTGAGCTTGCAGAAGTTCAGTATATACCAGGCCCTGGATTAGCACCAATTCAGAACCAGCCGACGCCTCGAAGTGCCGCTATGCTTCCCGGATTTGCTGAGCTCACTGGCGGTGTCGGTCCTTACAGCACACCTTCGGCTGGACCTAACATAGGGCCCGTGGGCGGGATGGGTCAAGGCCCTCTATATTCAAGCCTTGCCAGCTACTCGATTGAAACTGCCGGAACCAAGCGAAGAGCTTCACCAGACCCATATCAGCATGAGGCAAATCAACGTCGACGCATCGCATAGCTTGAACACTCAAGCAATTGTATTACATATGTACTCAGGAGTTGGGTTATGAATATTTGTTGGCATTCCTTTGGCGACTCAACTCGCAAAGGACGGTGTTCGGGTTGTAGGAAAGGTAATGAATGTACGGCTTATCACTTTGGGATTGTGGGATATGCTGGTGATCTGAAAGTAGCTGAAAAGGCCATCATTTTGGCCAGGATCTGCTCGAAGGTCACAGCAGCAAATCAAACCTCACGATGGAGCAGGGAAATGTGGACATGATTTAATGGAAGAAAATCTCGATGGAAAAAGGAATGATTTGCTTTCTTTCGATTGTTGTTTACCACGTTACGACTTCTTTCATTTTCTTTGCATCGGTCAGAGGCGTCCGAAGGGCAGTGGATGCTAGGCTATTTGGAAACCTAGCTATGAAAGCATTACAGAATAGGGCCAGGGGTGGCTCTAGAAAAATTGGAGTTGCAAGAGATGGGGTTGCTTTTCCGTCGACAGCGTTTGTGTTTTGGTATTTTCACGTTCGATAGACACATCTAGGGACACGATAGAGAGAGACCCGAAGTAGATGCATGACCTGTACAGTTAGCATTGTTACCTGAATTCGAAAGATATCCCCAATACAATATGAGCCCGTCAACGGGTTACTGCTTTTCTCGGTTTGACAAGCATATTGCCCATAATGTAAGTTACGGTGAACCCTACATCTCCAGTTTGGTTTTCATGTTGATCATATCCAATGCTTTTTCGTAACGCCTATAAGACCTTTGACCTTGCCGCAGCTTACCGTGCACTTGGTCTTACGACGGTCGACTACATACCACCCACCAGTTATCCTTCTCATAACCGTTCTCCACAACGATGCCTCCAACCGCCAAAACGTCCTCTTCCAGCTCGCCCTCTTTGTATAGATGGTAGTAACGCTGGAACGTGCCCCCAGGCTCCTGGCCTTTTGGTTTGCGCATAACCCACGACACCAGACGGTCCTGGTCACTGCCCGTGTCCCACCCGCGACGGCTCGACGCCTGCTCCAGAGCCCATACATAGACCAGCACACGACCGGTTTGAGGAGTTACGAGGTCCAGCAACTCCGAAATAGCGGTCTGTCGACGCTCACGTGTCGACATGTGATGCACAACAGCGATGCAGATGGCAAAATCGGCAGCAGCCTTGCGGTAAGGAAGAGCGAAGCCATCCGCAACAGCAACATCGACGTCGGAGACCCTGGGGTCAAGCTCGACTCCGTCTTCCCGTGGCCGTCGGAGTTCAGTGCGGGCTAGTTGGACGAGCGCTTGGCTCCGATCTGAGCCAAAGATGTGAACATCGGGGTTGACACGCAGATACTTGCCGTTGCCACAACCAACATCCAGACCGACACTGCCAGCAGGCTGAGAGAGAAGGAAGCTAGCAACACGGGGCCACGGCTTATGGCGAGTAGCAGAGAAGTGCGGTGCAATGGCCTCGTAGACAGCGTGGACGTGGGTAGCCTCGTACGTCTCTGGCGCCTCCTCCGCTGCGGATTGTGAGAAGGACTCTGCAGGGACTTGCTCTTGAGCTCGATCCTCAGCTTGGCTGGGGGCTTGCTGATTTGTTTGTTCTCCTAGTGGTCTGTCCCCTTGACCTCCGGTCGGTGTGACTGACGAAGCACTTGCCATGATGAAGACGATTGAAGACCGTTTGCTTGAAGTTCCGTGCAGGTTCTTTACAGGGAACGGCCGTTGTGGAGCAGATTACCGCCCAGGACTCCTGGTATGTGAGATAATCCTAGGAGGGGCGTGAAATTGCCGTATTGTGTGTGAGCGTCGAGAGTTCAAATTATCACCGTTCAAGTGGTTGGTTCTTCGGTAGGTAGGTCCGTTGCCGATTCTGTATATGGCAACTACTAATTTCTCAATATCCAGGTAGTTACTGCCCTTGTCGGCGGGCTGTGGCCCGCGATTACCTTATTAGTGGAGCCATGTTTGGGCGGCTCCGTCTGTGGCTTGAGTGGGCTTAATGGGCTTGATCTTGGCCTCTTCCATCACTCCATACCCTCAAACATACTGATAGGCGACAAACGACGAACACGGCGAACATAATATAGCTCATGCTAATATACGACCTGATTCAGATTAGGTGAACAATCATCCGTGTCTACCAGATACTGCCCCGTGCGAGTGCGGGATGTACAGTGACTGTGCGTCAAGTAAACAAAAGCAATGAGCTCTGTACGTAATGAGGTCAGGATGGATGTCAAGACTCAAGTTGATAACAGTCAGATTAACGTGGATTTAGGTACGTACCTAATTCAAGATGAGAAGTTCAGATGTTAATCATCCCCCTGTCCGATTTTGAGGCCCCTTGTCACGAACACCTCGGATCCGCTTCCAGGCCTCAAACCTTCAATGATTAAGGGTCCCTTGCTCGGTGTCTTGATATCGTCGACCCCACAATCTCATCTCTTACATACGCGGATCACGTCGCAACTATCACATCGCATTTTCACATTCACATCGCCCAATCCGTTCAAGGGATTCTTCTGATCTGTCAGCCATGGAACACTTTTGGTGACTTGTACGCCCCCTCTACAACAGCTCGCGTGTCAAGTAATGGAGCCTCATGGTGAATGCATGAAGAATCTTCAGCAGATGAGAGCGTTCGTATCAGGGATTCGCGGCATGGGGACATGGGTGCTCCCGCTCGCTTGAAGAATCAGGCTGCACGTCATCAAGTCGAGACCGAGTCTCCGACTCTTTTTCAGGCCTCAAGGATCGGCTTAGGAATTGGTGCCTTGCCTGAGCGATCCTGCACTCATTCACCTGCGCTGTTTGTAAAAGGGGCAACATCACGCGAGAACGAAAATGTCTTACATTGCCAGGCTTCTCCTATGGCTTGGCCAAAAAAA